GTGTGTGTGGCCAGCTCAGCCCATCAGGGGGCGGGGCTGGCTGGCATGTGGTGCTGGGGGATTGAACTGTGGTCCCTGTGCTTTGCTTGGCTTAGTTTGTTCTAAGTAGGTGCTTTAGACCACTGAGCCATCTCACCAGCCCAATAATTTCTTTTATAAAAACAGCTTATTGGGGCCAGGGAGATGGTTCAGTAGAATAAGCGCTTGCCTGGCAAGCACAAGGGCCTGAGTTCAATACCCGGTTCCACAAAAAAAAAAAAAAAAAAAAATTAAAACAGCTTATGGACTGGCTGGGAGCCCACTAGGTGCCCACTGGGTCCCGAGCCTCGAGGAGGCCTTCGCTGACTGCACAGGCTTGTGGAAAGGAGAAAGAAGAGAGTAACACGCAGGGCTGGCCCCTGCCTTAGCAGGTGCTCTGGACGGCTACTGTCATCGGACATTACTCCAGCAACATGGTATGGACAGAACCCTCCCCTATGGGTAAGATATAAACCTCAAAACAGGAAGGCAGCCCCTCTGTACTCCTGAAACTTGGAGTCCTCCTGCTTCAGCCTCCTGAATGCTGGGATTCCAGGCATGAACCGTCCCACTCAGGTTTGTTTGGTTTTTTTTTAATGTATTTAGGACAGGGTCTACAGGGTCTCACTCCACAGATCGGACTCCTAATGATCCTCCTGTGTTCAGCCTCCCAAGCGATGGGATTACAGGCCTAGCCACCATGCCCAATGTCAGTCGCCCTCTCAGTGCACCCCAGGGGTGGGGCCGGCACAGCATCCTGGGAATTGAAGCCCGGTCCCTGCCCTCTGCCCAAACAGGTGCTTTAGTCCACTGAGCTAGCTTGCTGCCCCCCCTCAGTTTGTACATGGAATTGTTGTCAAATATTTGGTCTGCATGAGGTGGCACGCGTCTCTAATCCCAGCACTCTGGGAGGCTGAGGCAGGAGAATGGCAAAATAGAGCCCAGCCTGAGCAGTTTACTGACTTAGCAAGATCTTGTCTCAAAATTTAAAAAAGGGCTGAGAACAGAGCTCAGTGCAAAGCCCTCGCTTCAAACCTCAGCACTGCAATAAATAAGGGGGAATTGCTTTTTCTTTTTTGCGGAACCAGGGATTGAACTCAGGCCCTTGTAGTTGCCAAGCAAGCGCTTATTCTCCTGAGCTATCTTCCTGGCCCCAATATGGGGGAATTTCACTCCCATGAGTCAGCAGCCACAAGTCACATGGCTGTCCCCAACCATAAGGGGGCAGGAAGTATTAATTTCATGACCATAAAGGGTGCAAATTGGAAATACTGGAAAATACATAATTCTAATAGACATATTTAAAATGTTTCTTTTTTTTTTTTTTTTTTTTGGCAGAACCAGGGATCAAACTCAGGTCCTTGTGCTCACCAGAGAAGCACTTATTCCACTGAGCCATCTCCCCAGCCCCTAAAATGTTTCTTTATATTTATAGAGATTTGTATTATACATACAGGGGCCGGGGAGATGGCTCAGTGGAATAAGCTCTTCTCTGGCAAGCGCAAGGGCCTGAGTTCAATCCCCGGTTCCACCAAAAATAAAAAAATAAAATAAAAATAAATA